GAGGGAAAAGGGCTGCCAGAGGGACTGGTTTCGCTCTCACTCAGCTCAGAGTGCTGATGGGACCTAGTATATTCTATCTAAATAGATGTCTGGAGGCTGCTGAGAACAAAAACGACTAGGGAGCTTGCTGCAGCTCCAGAAAACCCACCGTATATAAGACAGAGGCCAGTACGGCTCAGTGGCTTCTCCTTTCAGCGGGGAAATAGAAGAGGAAAGCATGCATCCAATATTTCAGCTTTACCAGGGGTTCCCTGAGGGACTGGCTTCTGTCTTGCCTGACTTGAAGTGCTAATAGGACCTGACATACTCTAGATCAGCGGTTCTCAACCTGTGGGTCGCAACCCCTTTGGGGGTCGAACGACCCTTTCACAGGGGTCTCTGGGTACTCGTATGTGGATGTATCTGCATGTGGGCCTGGAGACAGATAGAGGAGCGGTGTCTCGGTTCCTAAGACCATCGAAAATATGTGTTTTCCATGGTCTTAGGCGACCCCTGTGAAAGGTTGAGAACAGCTGCTCTAGAAGCCTGGGGACCACTAGGAACAAAAAAAGATCTGGGTAACTTACTACAGTTCCAGAGGTCCTGCAGTACCACAGGTACAAGAGAAAGCAAGAAGTTACAAACTAATGAAAAAAGAAACCAGCAAAACATCTCATTGGGGGTTTACACTCATAGGTCCAGAGAAGACACAGAAAAGGTTTAAGAGGCCCCCAAAATCTCTAGCTGGGCTGACTAGTTAAGGTCTTTCCTTAAATGAAGCCAGTCTGTAAAATCTGTGAGAGGTTGCAACTGAGAAAGTAGTTTTAATATTATTTAACTTTAACTAATTTTAATTACAATGTAAATAGCTGCCTGTGGCTATCAGCTACCACATTAAACAGTATAGGTCTACATATTCCAAGTAAAAACAGACATTGTCAAACTGGATTACAATGCAAGACCCAAATATATGTTGTCTATAAAAAGCTCAATTTAAATATAAAGACACACTTAGGAGTAAAAGATGGAAAAAGATAAATCATACAAACACCAATCTTAAACAAGTGGTAGTGGCTATATTAATATCAGAAAAAAGGTTGACTTCAGAACAAGGAACATTAGCAGGGATAAAGAGGGTCATTTCATGATAACAAAAACAGTAAATTCATCAAGTAGACAAAATAATAATAAATATGTGTGCACCTAATAAAAGCACTTCAAAATACAGAAAACAAAAAAATGATAGAAGTGAAATGAAAAATAGACAAATTCACTATCGTAGTTGGAGATTTCAACACTCTTCTCTCAGTATTGATAGACAGAGAGCCAACAGAGATATAAAAGACTTAAAGAGCACTATCAATCAATTTGACCTAATTGACATTTATAGAACACTCCACCAAACTACAGCAGAATAGTCTTTTCACGTATACATGAAACATTAACCATGACACCATATGTGGTGTCATAAACTAGTCTCATTTTTTAAACTAGAAAATGTTTAAAGAACTAAAATCAAACATTATGTTCTCTGACTAGAACATAATTAAATTAGACATTAGTAACAGGAGATATCAGGAAAACCCCCAAATATTTGAAATAGACTTCTAAATAACTTATGCAGCAAAGAAGAAATCAAAGGACATTAGAATATATTTTAAACTGCATATATATTATAATAAATTAGAATATATATAAACTATATAAAAATGAAAACATACCAAAATGTGTGGGATGCAGCTAAAGCAGGGCTTAGAGGGAAATTTACAGCTTTAAATGTTATATTAGAAAAGAAGAAAGGTCTAATATCAATGATGTAAGATTCTACCTAAGAAGCTAGAAATAAAGTGCCAGTTAAACTCAATAAGTAAAAGCAGGGAAATAATAAAAATAAAAGAGTATAAATCAATGAATTAGAAAAAAGACAAAATATAGAAAACAATGAACCAAAAGCTGGTTCTTTGAAAACAACAATAAAATTGACAAACCTCTAACTAGATCAATCAAGGAAAAAAGAAAACACATTTCTAGCATATGGAATAAAAGGAGACATCACTACAGATCCTCCAGACCTAAAAAGGACAACAGGAAAGATTATTAAAAAATTCTATGCCAATAAACTCAACACTTAGAGTAAATGGGCCAATTCCTTGACAGAAATTCAAGGTTAACATTCAAAATCCAATCAGTATTAAAAAAAAAAATCAATACAATTAATCATACAATAAAGGAAGTAAATCACATGAGCATCTCTTTAGATGCAGAAAACAGACTTCACAAAATTCAACAACCCACTCATTTAAAAAAAAAAAGAAAACTCAGCTATAAGAATATAGAGGTGGGGGCTGGCCAAGTGGCGCAATGGTTAAGAGCCGGCTTGGGACACCAGAGGGCCCCGGTTTGGATCCCACATGTGAGGGCCAGTGACACTGCCCTCTACAGCTAAGATGCTGAACAACAGCTCAACTGGAGCTGGGCTGCCGTGAGCCGCTGGCGATGGCATAGGCTGCAGCCCCTGCTGCAGTGGGTTGCCATGGGCTACTGTGTGTGGCCAGCAGCCAGCGTGAGTGGCCAGCAACCGCTGTGAGGGGCCGTCCAGAAGCCGGCGACTGATCTGCCTCGCCTGGGAAGAGCGCAATGATGGTGCCAACTTGGGCCGGTGAAGCAACGTCCTCCACAACTAGACTGAAGAACAAAACGACAGCGACTTGTCTGTTCCCCTTCCCCCAATTCCCCAGCACCGTTCCCATCCCCCAATTCCCCAATAAAAATCTTTAAAAAAAAAACTTTAAAAAAAGTGAATTTAGCAAGATCATAAGATAAAATGTCAATATAAAAAAACTGCATTTCTATATGCAAGGCCTGTGCACTGAAAACAAAACAATGTTGTGGAGAGGAATTAAAAATAAGCTAAAAAATGGAAGACTATACCATGCTCCTATATTGAAGACGCAACACTACTGAGTTCTAGATTCAGTGCAATTCCAATGCACATCCCAGTAGGGTTTTTTTGTAAAAATCGACAATCTGATTCTAAAATTTATATGGTAATGCATATAAAATGCAAAGATCCTAAAAGAACCAAAATAATTTTGATAAAAAACAAAACAAAACCAAAGTTGGAGTACTTACAATGCCTGACTTTAAGACTTACTACAAAGCTACAGAAATTAAGACAGGGTGGTATTGGCACAAGAATACACATATAGATTAAAGAAACGGAAGAGTCCAGAAACAGAACCACATACAATTGCCTGCAGCCATAGTGACTGAAATGGGGAGAATTCTATCAGGTGATAGAAATGTTCAATATCTCAACAGTAGTGGTTACATGGTATATACATTTGTCAGAATTCACTGACACTAGTACATTTTATTGTGCACTTAAATTGGATGTATTTTACATATAAGTTACACCTAAATAAAGATGCTTCTATCACATATTTAGAAACAATCCCCAAAACTTATCTTGGTTATTCATGTTAATCTGGCCTAGAAAGGAAACTAACATTTATTAAGGGCCTACGATGTGCCAGACAATTGGCTCTGCACATTTAATTCTCACAACTACCTTCTAAGGTAGAAATTACTCACCAGATTTTTTTTTTTTTTAAGATTTTTATTGGGGAATTGGGGGATGGGAACAGTGCTGGGGAATTGGGGAAAGGGGAACAGACAAGTTGCTGTTGTTTTGTTCTTCAGTCTAGTTGCAGAGGACGTTGTTGCTTCACTGGCCCAAGTTGGCACCATCATTGCGCTCTTCCCGGGTGAGGCAGATCAGCTGCCGGCTTCTGGACGGCCGCTCACTGCGGCTGCTGGCCGCTCACGGTAGCCCATGGCAACCCACTGCCACAGGGGCTGCAGCCTGCGCTGTCGCCAGCAACTCACGGCAGCCCAGCTCCAGGTTGACCTGTTGTTCAGCATCTTAGCTGTGGAGGGCAGTGTCACTGGCCCTCATATGTGGGATCCGAACCGGGGCCCTCAGGCATCCCAAGCCAGTTCTTAACCATCGCGCCACTCGGCCGGCCCCTCTCACCAGATTTTTATATTTGAAGAAATGTTGGGCATTTGAAAACTCATCCACCTAGTAAGTGGGAGTCAAGAGTCAAGCCTACATATATCTCTAATGCCTGCGTTGCTACCACCACATTCCTTTTATTATATCTTCTCTATAGAAACTTTTTCACCAAAGCTACTTACTATCCACTGAAACCATTTTTTAAGCCTAACTTGTTGGGTTTTTTCTTTTTAACTTTCCAAGACAAATCAACTTGAAAGTAGAGGACAGAAAAATCATGAACCTAGATAATCCATAAACTAGATAGCCAGCTCCTGAACAATGACAGGCTCACCCTTATGTGTTAAATACCTCAAGTATAAAAAACATTTACATACTAGACTCATAAAGAGAAGTACAAGCGCCGGCCGAGTGGCTCAGTTGGTTAAGAGCTCACTCATGAGTTTGAGCTCAGCAACAGCAGTTCGAGTCCGGCCCGAGCTGAGCTGCCGCTGAGTTGCCAAAAGGTGGCAGGATGGCTCAGCTAAAAAAAAAAAAAAAAAAGAGAGAAGTACAAGCGAATTTCAATATAAGAGTATTTCTAGAATCACACAGCAAGTTAAGTGATAAAATTGTCTATAATGCTCTTCAGTGGTAGAATCCTCCCATTGGGATTTTTAAACTTTGAAACTCTATACAAAGGACTACTTGGTTGAACCATCTACCTATTATCCTGCTAAAAACAAAAATTCTGCAATTTAACATCTAAAAGTGCTTGGCAAATAAAGAACCATATAACATGACCAAAACCTTTATTTGCTGTAAATATTATAAAAGGCAAAAAAATGTCCAAGAGGGAGGTGATAGAAAATACAGGAAGCCTTGTAAAAACTTTAATATTCAAGAGGAAGGTGGTGAAAAAGACCTTTTGAAAACTTCAAGATAGAGGAGCTAAAGGTGAGAAATAAATGTGTACTTACCTTTGGTGTTAAATTAACACTACCTAATGTACGTACATACTTACAGTTATGTGAACACTGAGGAATCATCATTGCAATGTTGAAATATTCAAAGCAAATTCCACACCGCAACAAATCATCTACTGTCTGAAATGCAAATACACATATTTAAGTATCAGTAAGACATCAAGATTGGAACGTCTGCCACAGAATTCTTTCTCCATTCTTTCTCCATCCCCTAAAAAAATAATTTAATAATACTTCTTTGTCAAATATACACTCAAAAGCACACTCCACATGAACTGCAGGGGATCTTGACAGAGTAAAACCTCCTCCATGTGACCCTTTCACATTCAAATCTCAGGTTTCCCAAAACACTTTAGACACAAAACTGACTGTGCAGACTGCTACACAACACGGCCAACCCTTCATAAAAGGGCAACCCTATTTCTGCTCCACTCCCCACATTTCCAGCTCTTACTCTAAGCCATCTCCTCTTCAGACTATCCCCTGGCCTACAGTCACTGCTGAGTGAAAGGTACCAGTAGCCAGTCACCACACAGGTTAAGAACCAAATCAGAGGACAGTAGAGGCAAACATCAGACGTTATCTAGTTTAACCCCTTACTTCACAAATGAGGAAACTTGTATCCAAACACGTGGGGCATGAGTCCAGCCAGGACTAAACTTCCTGTCTCCCTGCTGGCAGTCAGCCCAGCGCTTCCTGCATGGTGCCACACAGTGAAGCCATATGAGGAAGCCCTGGGAAGGGCCAGGCCAGTGACAGCAGAGGGAGGCGAAGAAGTGGACAATCTGGAAAGTCAGATAGATGAGTGCCAATCTGATATGCAACCCGAACAAGAAACGATCTATTCTCACAACCCCAAGTCTTTTAAATCATTTAAAATAAAATGCTATTCCACTCAATAGAATATGGAGCAGATATTTAAGAGAAGAAAAAAAAAAAAAAAAGAGGGAGCTCTCTTATGCACTGATATGAAAAGAGTGCCAAGTAAGTGAAAAAAGACAGTACATATGGTATGCTACCTTTTGCTAAAAAGGGATGGGGAATAAGATGGTATTCTATTTTTATCTTGCATATATATATAAATTTTGAAAAGATACAGAAGAAAATAAATAATGGACACGAGTCAGGAAACTGGGAGCGAAACATTTACTTTTCAGCTATTTTTTTGAACTATGTAAGTATACTACCTAAATTTTAAAAATACAAACAAAAAAAAAGGCTAATGTCATTAATAGTTCACATGAAGAAATACTATGTAGCCATTAAAAAAGAACATGCTTTCAAAGAATAATTAACACCATGGGAAAATGTTCATGTCTTAATGAAAACTTAAAAAAAAAAAACACAGAAAACAAATCTACAACAACTATAGATAATACCAGAACTATGTAGTTTAATCTCCATAACAATCTTATGAAGTCTATAGCATCTGTATCCCAGTTTCATAGACAAAGACTATAGAGCTTAAAAAAGATTGGGTCAGGGCCGGCCGCGTGGCTCAGTTGTTAAGAGTTGGCTTGGGAGCACGAGCTCTGAGCAGCAGGGCCCCGGTTCGGATCCCACATGAGGGCCAGTGACACTGCGCCCTTTACAGCTAAGATGGTGAACAACAGCTCGACCTGGAGCTGGGCTGCCATGAGTGGCCGGCGATGGCATAGACTGCAGCTCCTGCTGCACTGGGCTGCCGTGAGCTACGTGAGAGGCCGTCCAATGGCCGGCAACCGACTGCCTTAGCCAGGAAGAGCACAATGATCATAATACCAACATGGGCCAGTGAAGCGACGTCCTCCACAACTAGACTTAAGAACAAAAGGAAAGCAACTTGTCTGTTCCCCTTCCCCTATTCCCCAACTGTGTTCCCCTCCCCGAATTTCCCAATAAAAACCTTTAAAAAAAAAAAAAGATTGGGTCAAATCCAAGAAGTTGACTCTGAAGTAATCCCAAATTTTAAATGCATATATACATTGTGGGTATGTGTGCACATGGGCCCACACAAGAAAAACTGAAGGAAAATAAAAGAAAATGTTACACAGTGGTCATCTCTGGATGGTAGGATGATGGGTAACTTTAATTTACTCCTTTATCTTACCCTGAATTTTAATTTTTTTCTACTATATACACATACATTTATAACCTGTGAAAACCAGAAATTTCTGTTATGGTTAAACCAGGGAAATAAACATTAAAATGCCAAAATCTTCCATTACTTTTGGAATGTAAGTTACCACTGACACAAAAAGCTAGAGAACAATATAGAAAATCATGTAAGAGCAGGGGCAGGACTGGAAGCCCAAGCCCTGGCATCCAGTGTATTGTACTTCCTTCTATATGATCATCCTCTTCTGGTGGTTCTGACAGATCTGCTGAGTAAGACGTGTGGAAGGTGTCACCGCATCAGGTGAGCTATAACATTCTTGTACAAATCTCCAGTCAGGCTATTTCAAGACAGTAACATGCATGTCACATGTGTCTAAACCCAAATAGAGTCGTCAAGTGGATGCCCCAAGATTTCAATAACTTAGAGAAAGTGGAAGAAGGAAATAGGGAATGGGAGAAAAGACAATAATTAGAGCAAAGGTTCTTGAGCTTTTGGGGGTCACAGATCCCCTTGAAAAATGGGTTAAAACTATGGATCTCTTCTCAGCAAAGCATACATACAGACAAAAAGCTTTGTAAATAATCCAGATACCAAAGTCTTTTCATGGATCCTATGTTAGGAACCATGGCTTTGGAGTCAGATTTCTATTCAATATAAGAAAGGACTTCAAACAGAGCTACTCCTGGGAGCAGCTAATTCTTTGTCCCTGGCAGACTTCAAGCAAAAGCTAGATGAGAAATTGGCAAATACAATATAAAAGGAATTAAAATACTGGAAGGGGGCTGGCTTCCCAACCTTAACATTTCATGATTCTAATATGGGTTCAATCAACTCCATCACTTACCACTCTCTGGTGCTGAACCCTCAATTCACTGCTGTGGTGAGATATCAAAGCCAAAGACATGGAACCTGCCTCTAGAAAACACGGTGGCAATTGTGGGACTATATAAAATCTGCTTAAATCTACAAACAGGTAGCTTTACAAGTTACACAGCCTTCACTTTCTTTATCCAATTCAATCTTCACAACAAATAAAAACGGGGTTTCAACAGTTAACACATGTTAAGTGCTAATGAGATATGTTAATTGAATGCTTACTACCTTTCAGATACCTTAAATCAATTAGCAAATAATTTGTTGAGCACCCACTATGTGCCACACATGGTGTTATATACAGTGAATAAGCCAGACAGGAGCCCTATCCACACACATCAATTCATTTAACCAACCCTATAAACTGTTGATTTTTGTCTCCAGTGTATTGTTGAGGACATTCAAGCTCAGAGAGGTTAAGTAACTGACTCAAGGTCACACAGTTAAATACGAGGCAGAGACCAGCTTTAACCCAGGATCATCAGAACTCAAATCCATGCTCTTCTCCACTGCACCGTGGTGCCACGGCCACCACAACTTCAAAACCTCATCTTTCCTCGATCCTTTTCAATGTCAGCTTTTCACCATGGGGCTATATCTCAAGTACCCAAGGACTGTAGATAACACTGATGATGACGGGAAGAGCAAGGCCTCAAACTCACTTTAACCTCCCCCAAGTCCCTTCACCTACTCCTCAGAGACAGCCTTAGAAGTCAGAGGGACAGTGCCATAATCCCCAAGTTTACAAAACTGAAGAAATGAGAACTTGCCCACACAATGAAAATGATCACAGAGCAAGGAGGAAAACCAAGCAACTGACTTTTAACTAGCACAGCAAAGTGTGTTTGTTCTTGACAAATACAGCAGAAACCCTGGGCTCACCATTACTGTAAATGGAAACTAAAATGCCTTGCCAAAGACCAAGCAGCCACAAAAATCAATGTTACTTAAGCGAAATAATTCAACGAAATGAAACGCTAATGCTGAGCCTGAGTCCTGATCCCTCTGCTTCAAAGAAAGACATGCACAACTGTTAGGAGTTAGGACACATCAGGAAGGAGTGAGGGCAAACAAGCACTAGGCTTCTTGAGGTTAATTAGAAGAAATAAGAGGATGTAAAGGAGACCATCTGCTTCGATAGCTGATGAATGTTTTTTGAAGCTGGGTCCCCCCAAGATCATGTCCGGTGTCACTTTCAGAAATTCTCAACTAATATACTGAGCGAGTTTACATAATGCTTGGCACGTAGTATTAAGTCCTCAGAAAGGGTTGTCTGTCGTTTTCACTATTTAAAGCAACTGCTTTTCTCGAGGTCATTGTCATTGTTGTGACTTTAACTGCAGATTACCCGGTTCCATAAGACAGCCAACCTCAGCTCACCATAAGGGACCGAGGCCTGTCTCCGTCCCTTCTCGGGGGAGGAAAATAAGGCCCTGGGCCACGCGGCTGGTAAGTGGCAGAGCAGAGCCGGGGACCCAGGCCCAGCTCGCCACTCGCGCCTCGTCCTTTCTCGTCCTCAGGCGGGATTAGCCTCCCACGGACACCCGGGCGCCCCCAACCTCCCCGAAGCACTCACCTTCAAGGCTGCCAGACCCGGAGGCCACCGAGGCTCGACTAGTGAGTCCATGACCTCTCCTAAGGAGGATGGGGGGTCCACCACCCACTAGCCTCCCGCACTCCACTGCCACTCGAAATTCCCCGCGTTGCCGAGCTACGCCAGCAGTCCGCGACGCGCCTGAGGCGTGCGCGGAGCCTGCCGGGAGTTGAAGTACGTGGGAGGAGCGCCGCCACAGATGCTCTAGTACTGCGCACGCGCCTGACTTCTGCTTTGCCTTTCACCGCGGAAGGTAAATGGTTAAAAAGCCCACATCCGGTTTTTTTTACCAGACCCTTAATAAATGGATGTTGAGTGTTGGGGAAAGACAGACAGGACTCAAACCAAATCCAGATCTTGCCAGCTCTTTCAAGGTCTAGGCTAATGCCTCCTCCTTCGTGTCACCCTCCCTGATTGCTATAATTATCAGTCTCTGAACCCCTGGCTCTGAATAGGGGTTTTAACATCTAGCATTATTTCATCTAACCCCACCCATCACAGTACCGGGAGGTAGGAATTATCATTGTCAGATTACACAGAAGGAAGCTTTGGCTCAAAAAAGTAAATAAAGTTTCCTTGAGTCACACAGTGTCATTGACCAGATTATATGACTAGAACCTCTGGGCTTTTTAAATAGGAGCTCTTTCATTTATCAAATCAAAATTTTAATTTTAAGTTATTCCTTTTTTTTACCGCCTCAACTTTGTGTAGCCTTCCAGGTATTTTCTATGCAGACACATACGAAGGTTTTATTTTCCCCCCACAAGTGTTATTATATTAAATGCATAGCTCTGTCAACTTGAATTTTTGTTTGTTTACTTAATCATACTTCTTGAGACCCTTCCATGTTATGACATATAGCTTTACCTCATTCTTTTTAATAGATATGTAGCCCCTAATGTAGATGTACCACAATTTATCTTCTCTCATATGAAGGAAATATTTAAGTTGCTTCCAATTTTTTCACTATTGCAAAGAGTTGCAATAAACATACTATATATATATATGTATATATATATATATACATATATATATATATATATATATATATAAATCTTGGCACACTTCAGCCAGGATATTTGGTGGATGATTTCCTGTAAATGGAACTACTAGGTCAATTTTCTCTTTGAAAACTGTGATTGCTAGCATTATGTGAGTTTCCAAACAGGCTGTGCTAACACATGTGCACTCTCACCAAGCAAGTATAAGAGTGCCCATGGCTGACCAGCACACTACCTAGCCTGTCCAGTCAACTTAACACTCATCCACTGCCTTAGGTGGGTCCATTGCATCAGGCCTCATGGGCAGCAAGTCTGCACAGTTATATTGCTTAGGGCAGACCCCTGCAGCTTGCCACTGCTGCCCCATGTGGTCCACACATTCATTCATTCAACAAATATTTTTCTAAGCGCTCACCACTGATCAAGCACTTGAGCTAAACTGTGAAGTAGGCAGAGGTAAGGTTATTATTGTCATTTTACAGATGAAGCTACTAAGGCTCAGAGAAGTTAAGGCTTCACTCCTTTGGGCTGTCTTCCTAAGGAACCTCGGGCCCTTGAGCCAGAGATGTATTCAACTGACTTTTCCCTAATACTCATTGGGCAATAATAATAACATAACTTTTAGACAAAGGACTTTAATATCCATTACAATTATAGCTGACATTTATTAGGCACTTGTATGCAAAGTACTGATGTAGGTGCTTTTACACATATTGACTTATTTCAGACTCACTCCAACCATATGAGAAAAGTAAATAACCAACAGGACACTTGGCCAGGGCACGCTGCCAGTAATTGAAAGAGGAAGGATTTGAACTTAGGCAGTCTGGCTTAAGAGGCCATATTAACCACTACAGATATTCTCATAAGGACCTCATCATGAGAATGATTCTCATTTTATAAACGTGGAAACTGCGTCTCGGAGAGGCAAAGGAATTCATTCAAGACCACACTGCTTGTCAGTGGTGAAATCCACCAGAAGGGATCACCCACTGACACTTTATCAAGGAATAATTGAGCAGACATAGCTGCAGGGTAGAGTTCTGAGGATCCCAGGATACTGGACCTAGTGGGGCTTCAACAGGAAGGTGAGGAATGGCAGGGAAGTGTGGAGACTGCAGTGGGTTTGTATCAGCCAATCAGAGAAGCGCATGCAAATGAATCCCAGGCTGAGTTGGATGGCAAAGGGATTGAGACCAAGACCAGGTCTCCTACCTGAATGTACCAGTAATTGTTCCTGTATGGTTCCTAGTTGGTTGCTAGGTAATTAGGTTTAAGTTGACAAAGGACTGGAAGGTGAGGCAAGAGAGATGAGAAAAAAAAAAAAAGAATAGGGAATGAAGGAGAGAGACGACAGAGAAAGAAACGCTCTCTTTCTATTTGGCCATGAAAACAGATTTAGAAGCAGGTATCACTTACAGGTCCTGGGGTCCATAGCCATCCTCTCCGAGCCTGGAGAGCTTCCAGGGCAGCACTCAGTGCTATTCATCTCTGAGTTCCTGCCACCAGCTGCTCAGAGATTGAATGAATGAGTGAATCATCGGAAAAGGCCCACTTTCCCATAAATCTTTTCCTTCCAGGCTGAGCAATTCTCTTCCGGCTGTTTTCAACAGCACCTACTCAAGCCCACCTCTGGGCTCAGGAAGCAAAGTCACAAGGCAAAAGCAGGTCTGAAGGCCCACCTCAAGTCAGGGCAAGGCATCCGTCTTGCCTTCCCCATGGTATTTATCCACCCCAGGAGGATTTATCTCCTCTAACAAGCTGCCGTTTCCACGAATATTCTCCTGTTAGATCAATAAAGACATTGTACTTCCTTATCCAGAAACAAAAACAAAATGTTCCACATTAAAAAAAAAAAAAAAAAGCAGGCTAATGCTCAGTGGAATCTCTTGTGGCACTTAGGACAAAGTGAGGATCTGGGATAGGGCTGCCAGATAAGAAACAAAATGCCCAGGAAATTTGAATTTCAGATAAATAGCAAATAATTTTTTAATATAAGTTATCCCAAATATTGCACATGACATACTTATTTTAAAAACTATTCATTGTTTATCTGAAATTGAAATTTAACTGAACATCCTGTAGTTTTATTTGCCAAATCTGACAATCCAAATCAGGGAAACAGTCTCCCAGCGGAGTGTGGGGCCTGGCCTGGCTGTCCCGAGGCCCTGAGCTCCTTTCCAGGACCTCTCTTCCTCTCTGTCCTCCGTTCTTTCTTCCTTAAGGACCCATCCTCATTCTAGTCGTGGGAGGGAGACTCAGGGCCTTATCCTTTCTTTCTGTCTTCCCTTCCTCTTCTCTTTCCTCATTTTAACATTTTAACAAATATTCACTGAGGTGCTATCCACCTATATCAGGTATTGGAATACAAAGGTGAACAAAAGAGTCTTGGTCTCCGCTCTCAAGGAGCTGACACCCGAGGGAACTATAGGGCCAGGACAGAAACAAGTCATTTTGTAAGAAAATGAATACATAATTTAATAAAATGGTAAGTGCTATGAAAACAAAAGAGGATGATATAATAGAGAGTGGGTAGACATTATAAATTGGATGATCTGAGAAGTCCTCTTTGAGAAGGTGACATTTTTGCGAGGACCCAACTGATAGATAGAGGCAGCTATGTAAAGGCCTGGGGGTAGAGAGTTCCAGGCCTTGATAGAGTTTGGATTTTCATCCATATTAACTCTGATAAGTTGTTGAATCTCTCTGCACCTCAGTTTTCTCATCTGTAAAATGGGGATGATAATAATATTTGAGAATTAAGTGAGTTATTGTAAGAGCCTAGAACAGTGTCTGGCACCTAACACGCACAGTGTAAATGTCAGCTATCATTGTTATTATGTTGCTATAAGCACAGGGGGAAACTGTTGGAGGATTTTAGGCAGGGAGGTGACATGATCTGACTTACATTTTCAAAGCATCACTCTGGCTGCTGGGTGAAGAAAGGATTTTAGTGGAGAAAAGGTAAAAATCATGCGACAGTGACAAGAGGCTGGACCAGGTTGGCAGCAGTCAGGAGGAAATGAAGTGCTATGGGCCCCATGCTTGCTATGGACTCCACAGTCAGGCCTTGCTTTGTCCCTATACCAGGTCCCATCCTGAGTCCTCCTAAGCATGGACCCTCCCTTGTTTAAATTCACAGCGTGAATTTAAACACCGACATGGCGTTTTATTTGAAATTTTAAAAAGATAAAGCAAATTTGGAAAAATATAAATAATTGCTAAATCTAGTTGATAAACATAATGGTTAATTATGCTATTCTCTGTATCCTTCTGTAAGTTTGAAACGTTTCACCATAAAAATTGGAGGTAACTCATCCCGCTTGCTATTTTACAGATGGCCACATGGGGGCAGTAGAGTACCGCGCTTGCCGTGGGCTGGCGCTTTACGGAAAAAATGCGGAAGAGTAATCACCCCATTCATCCTTTATTCGTTTATTTCTTTTCACCCTTGCATTTAACTTCTCTAAGGCCCTGAGCTGGGCCTATAGGAGACAAAGAGTCGAATTCACCCCTGCCCCTGCCCTCCTGCAACCACTTGTGTAAACAGCGTATCTGGGCATCAGGAAGGGGCTATCACCAGGCGCCTATCTTGGTGGGTCCGTGCAGACACGGGTGTCTCTACGTTTGACGTCTTTGGAATGAAGACTTTGGCTGGGCATATAGGGGGAAAGAAATTAATATGGGGTGCGCAGTGGAGACCGGGGTGCCGCTTGTGTGAGTTCACCTCTTCTACATGCATTCAGGTTTACATACTAATCAACTGTGTGATCTTGGGAAAGTCATTTTATCTCTCTGAACCTCGTGGGGCTAATAATAGATCATACCTTGTAGCTTTTCTGTTCAAAAAGAATGAGATAGTCTATTTAAATTGCTTAAAATGGTGCCTGGCACATAGTTAAGTGTTCAATATGAACATATTTATACATCTATATGTTCCCATTTGGAGCCCTGGGATAGAATAGAAGCAGGTGGTCAGCTTATCTGATTTACACGAAGGCCCTGCTGGGGAAAATGACAAATGGGGCCTTGAACTCTTCACAAAGAAGGTGGTAATTATAGCAGCTCCTTTTATTGAGGGTTTTCTCTGTGCCAAGCACTTTACATCTACTAACTTACTTCCCACAACAAGCCTGCAAAGCAGGTAGGTACGAGCAGCTCTCCCTACTTTAAAGGTGAGGAAGCTGAGGGGCAGAGCTGTTCAAGAACTTTGCTGAGCGTTCTCAGCTGCTAAGGAGGGGATTTAAGACCAGGATTTAAACCCGGGCAGTCTGGCCTTGGAGTCCTCATTCATATATCCAGGAAGGCTATTCATATCGAATGCATTTTTCTTTGGCAATGGGTGTTGTGGGAAGACAAAAGCGTTTTCCTAGAGAGAGGGGGTGTCGTCCTGCTGTTGACAGGAGTCTGTGGACCTGGGGAAGGGGTGGCAAGAAGGTCCAGATAGCGCTCAGAATGGATTTTTCAAGAGCACCCCCTGGAGGGTGGGGCTCTTCATACGCCACTGAGGTTTGCCTGTCCAGCATCACTTTTTCTGATAACAGAACCATCTGTTCCTTTTGGGGAAGCACTGTTACTCTACCCTCAACCATGTGGTCAGGCAGAGCTGATCCCAACCTCTAGCTCAAAAATGGGCAAGTGACCAGGCCGAGTCAATGACAGACTTGCCCTCCATTCAGTGATTGGTTCATGGTAAGCTTGTGACTCAAGCTCGGCCAATCAGAGGAAATCCTGGGACCTTTACTTATCTATTGGGAAAGCCCCATACTCTTTTCCTGCTGGTGTAGCTAAGTGCCAGGATGTAAGCCTGGAATTGCTGTGGGCAGTCCTTGTCATCACTTGGAAAGAGTCAGCCTGGGATGAAGGCCACATGAAGGAGAGTGGAGCTGAGAGGTGGAGAAACAGAAGCTTGTTGACATTATTGGAACATTTGGATCCAGTCCTTCCTGAATCCCATTTTATTTTCATTCAGATGGGGCAAAAAGTATTCCTTTTCATTTAAGCCAGGCTGAGTTGGGTTTTGTATTCTGACTTAATGTATTCTCAACAGCATGATAGAAAGCAGGAAGAGCCAAGCTATTTATCAGGGCATCAAAGACCTATGAACACCGGTCTAGGTTCAGTTAAAAGAATGGGCATTTGAAGAAGGAAAATCTTGATCCACAGATGACAGGACTCTGTAAGTTGCCTGTAGAGAAGGTTTCCAGTTCTGCTTCACGCCTGAGCCATTGATCTTATCAGGAAGACTTCAAATAAGCCCCTTTGGGGGATGAGATGGGGGATGTGTGGAAGTGTGGATGGAGGCAGGGAGCAGAGCTGGAAGTCCAGAAACAAAATGGGGTGAAGGTGCTCAAGGCCCATAAATAACAACAACATAGTAAAAGTCTTCCACCTCCTTTATCAGACCTTAGGTAAAGAGAAGCAGGTTCATTATAATCCGGGGTTCATGACACAGTGTCATGGCCCTATGCAGTATTTAAATCCTTGATCATCACCCAACCCTCCATTGTTAAAAAGTAGCTGCAACCTGGAAGCCAGAGATAATTTTTTAACAGTAATAAATAGGATCAAGTAATGCCACCCCCCCCCCATTAAAACTTTTCAAGGACTTCTCATTGCTCTTAGAATAAAATTCTCACTATGGCTCGAAGGGTACTGCCTATGCCTTTCTCCTTGCCAACCTGTTGTCACATCTGTCACTCTTGCAGCTCCAGCCACACCGGCATTCTCTATTCTCACACACCAAGCTCTTTCTCATCTTAGGGCATTTGCCCATGATGTTCCCCCGCTTGGTCCCCTTTCCAACCCCACACTCACCCCTTCACATGGTGGGCTCCTGTTCAGGCTTATTTCCAATTGAAACTCCTCAGAGGGACTGTCTCGACCTCCCAGGCTAAAGCGGGACCCAATATCTACCCTCCCCACATCCTCAGTGTTTCTTCTTTCATTTATGGCATTGTTTGATCTCCAGCATTTGACCATAAAACTCCATAGGGATCTTGGTCTGCTTTGCTCACAGATGTATCCCTAGTACCCACTCGAAGCTTGGCACACAGTAGATGCTCAAGAACAATTTGTTCAATGGGTGAATGACAGCCAAAGATGTGATTTTGTTTAAGTACCTAGCTCTCCTCACTCAGAAATGGCATCCCTATCTGTGGATGGATACTCATTTCGTTCATGAATATTATTGAGCACTTTCTATGCTAGGCAGCATACCATCTGGAGATAGTGTGGACAAGATAGACAGAAGCCCAGCTTTTCCGGAGCTTCCATTCTAGTTTGGGGGAAAGAGAATGCATTAACTAAACAAATAAAATAAATTCCATTGATGATAAATGCAGTGAGGAAAAGAAAACAAATTAACCCAATGGTGACTGGGGGAGGGGGCAGCTCTAAGCAAAGTGGTCAGAGGGAGCCCCTCTGAGGCAATGACGTTTGAACGGACACTCCAAGGGAGAGAAGGAGCAGTAAGAAGAGGCTGAGAAAGAGCCTCACAGGTAGAGGGCTGAGCGAGGACAAAGGCCCTGAGGTAGGAAGCCCTGAGTGGGTTCCAGTAAAGGAGGGCTCAGTGGAGAATGACAAGGGAGGAGATAAGCTGGGTGAGATGGGCAGGGGCTGGGTCCCCAGGGGCTTTGTGGGCCACAGTGAGGGGTTCAGAGATCTGATTTCAGGCCCCCTGGGGCACCTGAGGAAGATTGCAGGTCAGTGTCAGTGCTGGTTTTCTGGAAGATGTCCTTCCCTGATCATTTATCTGCTTCTCGAATCCCAGGCTGGACTTCCTGGGGTGGCTGAAAAGGCCTGGAGAGTTCTCATCCTTTCTGTCTCTTCTTAGCATCTCTTATTTAAACACAACTTCCCCCCTCACTGCCAAAAGGAAAGCTGCCACTTCTGCTGCTGCCAGTGGTCTCTTCTTTGCCTGCCCCCTCCCCCATCCTTCTTCACAACCCTCCCCTGGGAAAGCTTCTTTTAAAGCCTCTCCAGGGTTTGGTCTCCTGCAGCTGCACACACTGAGGCAGCAGCAGGGCCATTTCCAGGCTTCTCTCACTACCCCCACACACCCTTTTTCTAGGGAATTGTCCGATACAAAATGCTCACTCGTGTCAGGAGGAGGATGGTCTAGCTCAGCGGCTCTCAACCTGTGGGTCGCTACCCCTTTGGGGGTCGAATGACCCTTTCACAGGTGTCTCCTAAGACCATCGGAAAACAAAAATATATTTACATTACGATTCATAAGAGTAGCAAAATTACAGTTATAGAGTAGCAACGAAAATAATTTTATGGTTGGGGGTCACCACAACATGAGGAACTGTATTAAGGGGTCGCGGCATTAGGAAGGTTGAGAACCGCTGGTCTAGATAGAACATTGAATCCACCCTGACTCCTTTTTTTGAGGCTGTCTGAGCAGCAGACCACCCATTCCCACCACAGCTGTCCAGTGCCTGGCACAAAGCTCCCTGGGGGAGGTATCTTGGGTGAAACACACCCAAACAGGCGAAGCTCACAGTTAAATGCTGTGCTTTGTTCCAAATCATGCCCAGGGCCCTGTCCTGTCCTTGGGCCTGAGAGAGAGTGGCAACACCCAGCTCCAGAGTGAGGCTAAATGGGAAACCCAGCTCCAACCTTTTAGCAGTGTGTCCCTTCAGCGAGTTACTTAACCTCTCTGTGCTACTTAATCATACATAAGCTAGAAACACCAGTAACACCTACTTTATAGGGTGGTCAGGAGAATTAATGAGTTGGCTTTTATATGTGAAAGGCCTTAGTAGAATGCCTAGAACTTAAATGCTCAAAACATGTTGGCTATTACTATTCTTTCCTCTTTTTCCATTTGATTGCAAGAAACACAAACTCACTCAGTTTGCACCACATAAGGGCACTGAGTGTAAGGTCTCCCAAAGAGGAAGAGGCACTGGGGCAGGTACACAGCATTGGAGTCTGGAATTAGCAAGAGGCCACCACTGAGTGTGAAGTGGTTATGTTGGGTATAACGGATTCCCTGAGGCTTGCAGAAAACCTCATTCTTTTCTACAAAGAGACTGCTGCATGAAAATTGAACAGAGGGTTCATCAAAAAGGAAAGGCCCTGGAACCTTCTTTGATTGCAGTAGAAATCAAGCTACCTTAATCATGAGCGCCTGCCACCAAACCTTGAGTAATGAGCATGCTCAATGACAGGCAGTACAACGAACTTGTAAAGAGTATGGCTCTGGAGTCAGATAGACTGGGCTCAAATTCTGGCTCCTTCACTTCCTAGCCTAACCTTGGGTGAGTGTTACCTCTCAGAGCCTCAGTTTCCTCATCTGCAGAATGGGGTTTAAGAAGGGTACTTACCTTGTATAGCCACTGTAAGAATTTGATGAGAGAATGCATGTCAAGGGTTTAATCTAGTACCTGGGACAAAAATAAGTGATCAGTAAACACTTCATGTGCATATACACACACACACACACACACACACACACATAGGTAAAAAAAAAAAGTCGTAGGGGCTGTATCACATGTGTGTAGACAATGAATGCTAAAATGGGCATATGCCTTCACAGTGGAAATCAGTATCTTGTGGCCTCCAGTGACATCCTAAACTTTTAAAACCACCCTCTGCAAATAGTCCTTTCTCCCACTTGCCTTTCCTTTGACACTTCCAGCTTTGGCTTGCCAGCGGACAGCCCAAAGTTTGCTTTTTCAGTTAGCTCCACAGTTGAAGCAGCCATCCTTAGAACCTTGGCCTTCACCTTGTTGGATCTGAGCCAAAGGACATTTCGGGGACAGCTCCTGGGGGAAGCCAACAGTGTGGACTGCAGGGTGGGAACAACCCCCTGGAACCTCCCCACCCCCAATGGGCCACCTCACCCTTTCAAAAAGCCACAGGAGCGTGTTTGAGAAAAGTTAAGCTGTTTTATTTCACAGGATAGCTCCACATCAAACCAGCAGGCACCATCAGAATACGCGACAGAGGATCCAATCAGACACTCTATAGGACGGGCGTTCGGTTGTAAGGTAGAGAAACGATATCTGGAAGAGGGCAGCACTTCTCATCACGTGGGGACAGGTAACCAGCAATTTCCAAGGGCGGTTTCGGTTTGTTTTTTCCTGACAGTTTGGGGAGGAAAGAAACCAAAGGAAACAAAATAGACCAGCCACTCTGAAGCAATCAGAACCAAGCCTATTGCCAAACCGTGTAAACAGTCACACTGCCGGGAACAACAGCCTGAGCAGAAACTCTAGCAGAATCGACTTCCGTCTAAGGAAGGAAAAGTGCGCTCTGGTTGTTCTGGTTCAAGGAACAGTTTTGTTATTTGACTGGGACAGTTCACCGAGAGAAGAGGTGTCAGCAAGGGGCAGCGGTGGCCATTCGGCCAGTCCCAGAGGATGGGACAGTGGGACACTGGCAGATCAACCTCAGAGAGGCCAGGAGGACTCTGACCTGACAGTAAAGTCCCTTCTCTCAGCTCCCCTGGGCAGCTTTGGGTATGTGGAGAAGTCTCTACATGGCTGCTCAAAAGAGAGGAGACCCCAGAGAACCGGGGAAGTTGACATGAAACGTCAGCATTAGCTCTGCATAGCAGAAAATCAGCTAAGCAACACCTCGGCTCACCCCTTCCTGCCTTTTCCTCCCCGCCACTCCCCCCAAGCCCGACAGGACCCCACCATGGTTGTGAGCCAGCCGTTTTTCTTTCTGGGTTTCTCAGACGAATGAGGCATTTGCTCTAGTGTGGAACCGTGTGGATGTGTGAAAAGTCAGGAATAGAAAGACTGAGAGGAAGAACCACTGCATTAGTCCTGGTGGTTTTCCATCAGCTGTGTACGTGCACTGAGTGCCAAGTAACGATCAGGTCACAGGAAGTCCTCCGCATTCACGCCTCCTGAATGAGAAAGAAATATACCCAACAAGGCACTCCAAGGGCCTCCAACAGAGAAGCCAGGTCCTTGTCCAGGCCCTTTCCCACACTGGCTCCCTCTATGTGCCACAAACCAGTTCCGAAAGGTTTATAAGGCAGATCTTTGAACTGCTGGTGCCAGCCGGTAGCCAAAGGATGGCTCCATTTCCCTGTCTCTTCTCACTCCGATTTCTTCATTGAATAGAAACCTTTCATCCCTTAGGAATCCACTTCTCTCCTGCTCCTTGGCCTGGTGACCTTAGAGGACAGACTCCCAAGTGTAATGCCCACGCTTACAAGTCCCTCCCATTGTGCGCTCTGTCTGGGTTCAAAGGCGCTTCAAGGTGAGAAATCGTTAGCACTGAAAACAAGGAAAGGCAAGGATTTTTCATAGAATCCCACAGCTCAGAGCAGCTCTTTAAGAGGAAATGGGGGAATAAAGGGAGAGAGGGAGAGTGGGGTAGAAAGCACGGCTTCGTCTCAATTTTATCCGAGAAAGGTTTTAGCGGCAGCTGGGCCCCCGAGGCCCAAGAAACTAGACCAGGAAGGAATTGTCTTTGGTCAGTTTTAAATGAACATCTTGCTGGTTCATTCCTAAAACAGACTGAACATCGGTTACACATAAAGACAAAGGCATGACCTCAGGGTTAGTCGAAGGTTAAGAAAAGAAATCATTCAGTGAAGCCAAAAAAAAAAAATGCCCGTTATCGACGAACTAATCAGTTCAGCTTTCAGTAATGATGATGAACAAGTAAGTAAACACCACTTCCCCTTGTACAATTGGTTATATTGAGGACTACTAACTAGGTTACTACAGTTCCCTCACACTCACTGTACAGTTAGGTTTCTGGTATTTGTTTTTTGTGGTTTTTTTTTTTTTTACATTGATCTATCTACTAGGTGCAAAGATTTGGTGAGTGTCATTGGCTATAATTTAATTGTCGCCTTTTTAAAAATTACAGTTTCACATTTTAACAGTTACTTTCCAGCATTTAAGCAAATACAGCGATATATAGTGGACTAAGACAGGCAGGAGGCGGGACGAGGGTGCCAATGCTCCGTGACTATGGGTGGGACTGGGTGCCCATGGAGGGGGACCGAGCGAGACATGCAGAGTGCCAGGTGAGGAGGTGGGCAGTGGGGAGCAAAGGGTTTTTCCATTTGGTTCTGCGTCAAGGCTCAGATTTGGGGCTGGATAAGTAAGTGGTGAGTTTCTCTAAATGTGAACTCATCAGCCTATCCCCAGTGGAAAAACAGATGCTTAAAGAAAACAGCTACGGCTCTGCCTTCAGGTAATTCGGTGAAAGGCAGGTCCATTTCTAGGGAAGAAAAATGAAGTTAGTCATCAATTCAGAGGAAAAGTCACATGGTCTGTCTGACTGGTGTTATGGATATCAGGCAACAGGTCTGTCAACTCACATTTTCTCTTTTCATCTGTTAGTCATGGCAGAGAATGTTACATTTTGTGTGGACGGCTACCACAGTTAAGGTCTGGGAGGATCTGTGGGGTAGAAATGGGATGCCTTGTATCCTGGCTAGACAGCATAGCATCCTTGCAAACAAATGACTTTATGAGCCTGACGCAGCCCCCACTTTCAGCCATCTATTAAATCTTAGGCAAGTCACAGCACATCCCAAGGCCTTGCTTTCTTTCCTAGGCTATAAAATGGGGTTATTTTATATGCTCACAAAGGCAGAGGGCTCCTACCTAGTTCTGAGGTGTTTTCATTTCCAGGAGCTAAAAGAGAACAGTTGGTTCTAGGCAAAAAAAGGAAGGTCAAGTTTGTCCTTGGCCTCTCCCTGGCATTCTCTTTTGGCGCCCTTTCTTGAGTCTTCCGCCGCTCTCAATGCCAGCGCTCAGAAGAGGCAGGATGGCTAGCCACTCCCACACACTCAGGTATTAGAGACTCAGTAGGTGTAGTCACCTACACTCTAAGGTGTAGTCACCTGTTTATGGAGGACCAGCGGAGAAGACAAAACTTCATCCAATGGGGTGAAATGGTAATAATGGAATTTCAAGCATCAATAGGCAATATATCTGTAGGGCCGTGCTTCGGGGAGCTTATGAAGCTGATAGGAAAATTCCACTGCCCACTTCTCAAATGCCATTAGGAGGTTTCAAAAGGAAGGTCTTGGGTGGTTTCTGAGCGAAAAGACTTATTTTACTAATGACAATAAAAAAAAGCAATCGATTTGGCACAGCGCTTTCTAGTTTAAACAGCTTGCTCACTTACATTTTATCACTATTATCTTCGTTTTACGGAGCAGGAAACTGAGGCTCAGTGAGCTGCAGTGACATGCTCAGAGTGCCACAGCTCCCAAGTGATGGGGCTGGGACTCAAACACAGGACTTTTGACTCCAAACCACAGCCATGAACACACTTAGAAGCCTTGAGAAAGAGAAAGACATGAAGCTTGAGAACAAGAGGGAAGAAACCCTTGGCTTGGAATGAGGAGGGTGAGTAAATGTGGTCCCATTAGAAATTGATCTGTCTACGTTCCATAATCCAGAAACAGCCATCTCTGGAAAAGGAAGAGATCCAAAGGGGAAGTGAAATACAATCCAACGAGTGATCCAGAAGGGGCTTTTCCCAGCCAAGAGGCGGAAGCCTTGCTCGTAATCCTCGAAGATCGTGCACCCCAATTGTCTCACCATATTTTCAATTACATTAAATGCTTTGGAGGAGGCGAGTGGAAGGGAAGGGAAAGGAGAGGGAGGGGGCTATTTCACTTCCATAAACTCAACTGAAGCATTCTCTAGGACAGAAAGTGCCAAGGATTGCCTCTCCTCAGCCCCTGGTCTGAGCTGGGCACTTATGGTTCGTGTACTTTGTGCAAGAGGGCACCTGTCAAAGTGCGTCATGGCCTGGTTTTAAATTAAAACGATGTGACTCGAAGCCTCCTTGCCTGTTTAGTTCCAAATCTGACACAGTATAATTAGTAGAAAGAGGAAGAGAAAAAAAATTAAATATTTTGAAAATTGTATAAGTTAAACCTCTATAGTTACCAGAATAATTCCTACAGTGTTTCTAGGTTTTGAAGTGTTCCACATCCACTGTGGGTTTTTTTTCTTTTTTTTTGTTTTTTGTTATTTTTTTTTACTTTTTCCCAACCACACATACTGTGCTAAGATGGGGCTTAAGTTCTCACTCTCCCCTTTTTCTACATACAAACACAAGGATGCTGTGGTCAGGGGTCTTCTCACCAACATCCTCCCGTGCCGTTGCGGGTACAGTTGGCACTTGGCCTTCGGGTGGAAAGGCAGGGTCTCTGGAGTGGACAGGGGTGGGGAGTTATCCTGTGAAGGGTTCCCCACCTCTAGGAGCAGCCTGCTTGGGGTACTGCCTGCCCCGCCCTTCGTTTAGGGGCAGACTGTTCTGGAAGGCCACAACTTCTGGAGACAGGGAGAGACGGTTTTTGTTTTTTCTGCAGGTTAGTGGTATATTGCTTCATTCGCAGTTACTGTGGGCCTCTAAATTCTCCCAGAAAAGTTCCTGCAAATCCCACCAAATAACTCAGCGGGAGATGTTTGGTGGCATGGGTCTGAGGTAAATCTAAGTTTCATAAAAAGAAAAAGGAGATCCTATATACATTTAGTATGTGCGTCCAGATCTAGTATATGTATATAGATGCATAAATATATATATATACACACACCTACAGACACATACATACATATATATGTGTGTATATGTACACATATACACACATATATATGTATGTAGACAGAATGTCGAGGGAATAATTTTCCAGTGATGATACACAGGCGAAGCCATTTAACATTTTGCCACGATCTTAGGAAACACTCTAGTTGGGGCTGCTCCTGCACCTGCGCTCCTCTGGGCCTCTGTTTATACACACAAGGCCTGTGCGATTCATGTGGCTGGATGTGAGCTATGGCTAGTGTCTGGGCCTCAGCTCTGCACAGACACTCTTCTGGTCTGACCTTCTGGTCCCTGCTCAGCCAGGCTAGGAGCACTGGGAAGAACGTGGAAGTCACAGAGGTCGCCCTTGGTGTGCCACACTAGGCCAGGGCAGTGCCGCCCCATCCTGTAGGTCACATGGTGCCTGACTTGTCTGCTGAGCTGTTGGGGAACATCTTCTCGGTGGGCGTCACAGCCGGGCTGCCCACACCCGAGCTGCTGCTGCTGCTGGATCGATGCTGAACCACAGGCCGCACAGGCCGCATGGGGGGTGGGCGCAGCTGGGCGCCAGCTAGGCGGGCGGACAGGGCTGGCTTGAAGGTGGTCATCATCTCAGTGGAGGAGCTGCTGCTGCGGCGCATGGCGGCATCAGGGTCTCGGATGACGATGGTGTGCAGGGGGCTGGCGGGCTCCGAGCTGATGGGGCCTGGTGGGTTCTTCAGGGGCTCCAGGGTGTCCAGCACCACATCTGGCGCCTGCTTGACGGTGTTCTGCCTCTCGAGTTCCCGCAACTCGTGCAGAGCTGTGCTCATGGTCTTCTCGATGTCCTGGGGACAAACAGAGCTCTGGTCAGCACCGCATCTGGAGGCCTGGGGTACAATCCTTCCTCAGCAGCTTGTGGGCTTCTGAGGGAAGTTTCCCCAGGGGCCTGATGGCTGGGGTGGAGACTAACTCCCCAGGGCGTCCTATGACCAATTGGGGGAGTCCACGTGGTTATGGCCTGCACACTGTCTGCACAGGAAGCAGTCCTGACCTTCAGGCTACTGGTTAAGAAGGCAAGCTCCAGAGTCAGACAGACATGGGTTCAAATTCTGGCTCTGCCATTTCCTTGCTATGTGACTTAGGCAAGTTACCTCACCTCTCTGAGCCTCACAATCCTCATCTGTAAATGACCGATCATTAGAATACAGACCTCAGGGGCTTGATGAGTGTTTTAAATGATACGGTCCCTGTGAAGAGCTTGGCATGACACCTGGCACACTATAAGCTCACAAATCATGACAATCACAATGGCAGTAAAAGTTAACACTGAGCACCAAGCCAAGTCCTTTCCACGAATAATTCATTCAATCCTCATACTTATAAGGTAGGAACTACCATTAAGCGCATTTCACACATGAGGAAATGGAAGCCCAGACTGGTTAAGCAACTTGCCCAAGGTCACACAGCTAACTAGTAGCACAGTCCAAGTCTTGACCCAGGCAGTTTGTCTCCAGAGTCCATGCCCCTAACCATTATAACTATTATTTTTAAATTCTTCCCCATAGAAAAACTACTTGGAGGTTATATATCACAATGTTCACCCCAAAATGATGGGACTGTCACTTTCTACTCTGTGTTATAATCAGAAAATTTTGTTTTTTAAAAAAAAATGGAAATTTTAAAAAGCAACAAAAATCCTTGTCTGCCTAAATAATTCCTGGGGAAGATGTAGTATTTGAACTCACCAACATGAGAGTGCTTTGAAAGACACAGAGATTATGCCACGCCCAGGACCTCCTCCTGGTGAGCAGAGGGGCTATCCTGTCAGCCTGGGCCTCTCAACTTTCCAACTTCCCAAGGCCTCCATTCCCCCTCAAGCCAGAAGGGGGCGCTGGAGGTGGAAGTCAATATTTAACCCGGGAGCCTTTGGCTAGGGCATAGGGATGGGAACTTTGAACAAAGACTCTTCTGTTACTTCCTAGCCTCAGTCTCTGCACCATACTTCGTTTATCTGTTGGAAGCCCACATGTTTACTGTGAAGATGGAATGAGATAATGGATGTGATGAAGCTTTGTAAACTGACAGACAATGGGTTTTGAAGTCCCATTAGCCAGAGTCATTGGCTCAGATAGTGCTTTACAGGGACACCTCCACATCAAAAGATGCAAGAGAAGCTGCTCTGTCTGAGCTGGGCCAGAGCCCAACAGCTTGGCCACTGAGGGGACAATGAGGGATACTTCTTAAAACCACTGCTGGAAGGTCTGTGCACAATCTCAGTGACAATGATGACTATTAAGACACACTGCCCTGCTACCCTGAGGCAAATCTGGAAAATCTACATGTCTGGTCTGACCGATGGAGTTGCAGTCCTGGCCACCCCTCTACCCAACTATTTTTGTACCTCCTCTCCTCCCCCTGTCCAAAGGCAGCCTCCTGCCTGCCCTGGAGCCCCATCACAGGCTCCAATCTGGCCACAGTCAGGGTCCCAGCCTATCCTTTTTGCTTCAAGAAACTTGATAATTAGCTAATGGCTAATTAGCTAATATTAACACAAAGCTACTATTAGCTTTTATGATTCCCCATGACATTTTATCCTTTGCCCCATATCATTGGCTACTTTAAGAAGGGGCTTTTTGTGCCTTTATCCAAAAGGATTAGCTCTGGGGGAGTTTCCGCATGATGGGACAGATGGCAGGCCTTTCTCCATCTTTGCTCTATCCCAATCCTGCAGTGGTGAAGCCTGCTTTCCACACCCCACTCAGCTTAAATTATGTCCTCTATTGACATCACTTCTTTCTTTGTTTGCTCTACTCCAGCATGAGCTGAAAGGTAAAACTTTAATAAATAAAAAACAATTGCCCCCCCCCACCACCACCACCATCCCCACCATCCCCACCACTCTACCCTGGCAGAGTGGGAGCCAGAAGACGGAAAGCTCAGAGAAAGATCAGGTGAGTAGTTTAGGCACGAGCCTTGCATTAGTCTGAGAGGTGAGGCCGTAATCTCCAGAGTGGAGCTGCAGAGGTGCTGGGGGAGGACAGACAGCAGGGAGTGGCAGGGGAGGGGTAAGTGAGCACTTTTTACCTCCTTCCAACTTAGACCTTCCCACTTTGGATGGCAGTGTGGCAAGTTCCCCAACCTCTTCACTGGATTCAAAGCTAAGTCCTAAAGGACATTTTCCAACCAGAGTATTTGGGGGTAACTTCATCAACTACTTGGGATTTCCTGATCACAGCTCCCCTTTGTAGCCTGCAAAGTCAGTGCTCATCAGAGCCAATGCTGAGCAGGCTGGAGGCCAGCCAGTGTCCCCTTCTGGCTATTTACATGTTGTCTACCATGCATTCCTATTTTACCTCTGTCGCAAAAGGCTCTCTTGAATGGCAGCTATCAAATTAGAGAGTGTGTAGATATGTTTGCGAATGGAAAATGCATGCAGCATTCCCCAAGTGTCTTCTTTAGGTTTGTCTTGTGCTTTGTGAATAAAGCTCAAAGAAGTCTAGGTGAGGGGATGTACTCTGTTCTCTTTCTTGGAGATTTACAATGCACATCTACATATTTAAAGGTTCTAAAAAGGCTTGCAGACAAGCCATTCAGCCTTGTCAGAGCAGTATTCCCCAAACTTTGTTGACCACAAAGCACCTTTCTTCCCCCATTAACATCCTGTGGAATCAGTCTGCTGTGGGAGCTACTTTTGGAAACACTGGCCTAGACTGCATTTGATTCTTCATGTAAAGGGCTCTGGGCCAGGTCTCAGGGAGCCCATGCCCTATCATGGGCCTTGGTAGAGCTTCTACATGATGATGGGTGCTAAGTGATGTTCCCCAAGATAATGGCCTTTAAAAATGGACGGACCAGGGCCGGCCGAGTGGCGCGTTGGTTAAGAGCTGGCTTGGGACGCCAGAGGGCCCCAGTTCGGATCCCACATATGAGAGCCAGTGACACTGCTCTCTCCAGCTAAGATGCTGAACAACAGCTCAACCTGGAGCTGGGCTGCTGTGAGTCGCCGGTGACGGTGTAAGCTGCAGCCCCTGCTGCAGTGGGTTGCCATGGGCTACCGTGTGTAGCCAGCAGCCAGTGTGAGTGGCCAGCAGCCGCAGTGAGCGGCCGTCCAGAAGCCGGCGACTGATCTGCCTCACCCGGGAAGAGCACAATGATGGTGCCAACTTGGGCCAGTGAAGCAACATCCTCCACAACTAGACTGAAGAACATAAGGACAGCAACTTGTCTGTTCCCCTTCCCTCGATTCCCCAGCACTGTTCCCCTCCCCCAATTCCCCAATAAAATCTTTAAAAAAAAAAAATGGACGGACCAGCAGGTTGTGTGGCTCCTCTGAGGGACCCATGCCAAGGTGCTGATCTTCAGAGAGCCCTCGGGAGTGAGCATCAGGACATGGGGCCAAGCTAGACCCTGCAAGTGTGAACAAGAATCCCAGTTGCTGGGTGAGTTGTTCATCCAAACTTTTAAAAACCTTAGATAAAAAAATACCAACAACTTGAAGCACTTCAGAAGAGCCTGGAACATTCTTTCCTTCCAGCTTCAGCTATTTACTCCTACCTATCCTTTGTATCTCAGGTCACATCCTCCCCAGGGAAGTCTCTCCCTGCCTAGGAGCAACCCCCACATTGTAGGCTCTCAAAAGACCATGTACCACTCATTTAAGGCACCTAACCCGGTTGCCATTTCACAGCTGTGTGTGTTATTAGTGGATGTCCCGTCTTCTCTAAATTGTAATCTCCGCGTGGGCAGGACCTGGATCCATTTTAGGTCATCACTGTGCTCTCAATGCCTAGCACAGTGATTGTCACACAATAGATGATCAATCAATATTTGTCAATGAATGAAATGAATGAACAAACGAATGAATGAATGAATGAATGACTCAGTCATGCCATCTTGTGGAGTCACTTGTCATTACTACATCCCCATTATGCAGCCTACCCCCGGGGCAGGGATCCTCAGCCCTGGAGACTGGGGGGGGGGGGGAAGGTCTTCAGTCTTCATAGGATCCCTAGCCAGCAGCTGCACCCATCCAGCTTCTACGGGGAAGGCCAGCAAGCAACTGGAAGCCAGCTCGCTATCTAGCTTTGCTCTGGCTTAGTCTTGAGCCTGGCATGAAGGGCAAAGTGGCTCTCCGGTCCTCAGGCGCCCACCCTGCTGCCCCTTTTGGGGCTCTCAGCCAGCCCAGCCTGCTTCCCGTTGGCCCTTACTTCTGCCAGGGCCTCGGCCTCCAGGGACTTGTGGTCCCCCAGGCTGCTGTGCCTGGTGGAGCCGCACGTCGACCTCATTGAGTGCCCTTCCGAGAGCGCTTTCTTGTCAGGGTAGTTGATGCTGCCGGCGCTCCCGAACGTCGCCATCCTCCGCTTCTCAGGGCTCTCGATCCTGCCCCGGGTGAGGGGGATTTTGTGGGGGCTGCTGGGGCAGGCGGCGGCCCGGGGCGGCGTGTCTATGCTGGGGCCCAGGCCCCGGGGCGGACTGTGCATGTCGCCCCCGCTTCGGCGCCTGGGGATGGCCGCTCCATCGGATCGTAACCGCACTCTGCAAAGGAGCCAGGGGGCGGGGCATGGGGCAGAGGTCAACCCTGGCACGTCTCAGGATGGGCCAGCCAACCCCCAGGCCACGCATTCCACTCTAGTCTAGGGAGCGGTATAGTAAAGCCTCCTTCAGCCAGACTCCGCAATTCCACAAAGAAAACGCCGGCTGAGCATGGACCTCAGCGGCAGGGGGCAGGCTTAATCTGTACAAACGAAGGAATCAGAGTTTTCTGCTTCCGAGCTGCAGATGGCGGTGGTGGTAATTACACAATGAATGTCCGCTATGTGTTAAGTCAACCAGGAGGATTTCAACCTGGGAATGGTTTGGCGATGGTTAGTTGGGTTCTTAAGTGGTTCAGACATTTCCATGATGTCAAAGGGCTTCTAATTGGTCTGAAGCATTGAGGCTTGACTGTACCAAAAGTTACCAGCTCCCTGCAAGCACAGGAGGGGCCCCCTGGGAACTGAACACATGCCAATGTTGTTACCCACCCCAATCTCCCCAGCAAAGGCCTACTTCTATGAGGCTCTTCCAGCTCTTGGGAAAACAGTCATTCAAGAGGGAAAAGTGCATTCTTGAACATGCATCTGGACACCTTTCACCCCTTAGGGAGGTGCTGGTGGAGTGAGAAGGGAACTAGAGTGTCTTTCAGGAGGGCGAGTCCTTATCCTGTCTGTCACAGACTTTTCCTGTGTCCTCTTTCAGACCCATTTTATTGCTGTGAAATGGGCATAATATTCCTTGTCCACCTATCAAGGAGGTTCAGTGGGTGTGAAAGCACTTTAAAGATAAAAGGTTCTCCCACAGGAGATCTTGTCCCATCCTATAGAGGTCACCAAAGATTATAAGACCGCGGTGAGGGAAGTCTGAAAGTGGCGAGGGGATAAAAAACAAACAAAACAAAACAAAAAAACACAGTGTGGAATGGATTGTGACCAGGGGATCAGGTTCAATTGGGTCAGCAGCACTTTAGATCTTAATGCCACCAGCCAAGCTAAGCACCGCCTGTGGGTACCCCAACAGGACCAAAGCAGAGGGGTTGGAGAGAAAGAGGTGTTGAGAAAGAAAGAAGAAGGAGAAAGTAGATGAGGGAGGGAAAAAGGAGAGGAAAATTGAGGCAGGAGAAGATACGGCCACCCCAGAAGTCAAGGGACCGTGACTTTGTCATCTACTTTCCCCAGTCTTCCACTCCTCCCCTCCTAGTCTATCATCTATCACAGTGACCCGACCTGTTTGCTGAACTGAATAGAATATGTTGGAAAAAGGCACTGGGACTTCTAAAATAAATTCATAAACGTATGCTCCTATTATGACTGATTTTTTTGGCTCTATCTCCAAGTACCCATATGTGTGGGTGGATCCCATGACCTCTCCAGCAAGAAAATGAAGAATATGACATTTTGAGAATCCGATTAAGAAAACAGTGAGAAACTGTCAGCCTCTTTTCCTTTTCTTTTCTTCTCTTTTCCTTATTTTATTTAAAAAAAAAAAACCTAAACAACCACATACTTTGGGCTATACTCATATGCAGAGTAAGGAGCACAGCTCCTTGCCTCCCAGAAAGGTCATGTGACACAGCCCAGCCCACACATGGGGAGTGAAGAAATTGGCAAATGTGTTCCCACCAGATAAGTGGGTGGAGTTGAGTGTCAATTTCCCCCACATCGGAGGGGGTGTGAATTTTCTGTTTATGTAGCACACTTCAGGGAGTATGTGAGCTTTAAATTTTTAAATATAACAATTTGGGGTGTGGAAGAGGTGCAAGAACTAAAGAGAAGTTGGAAAAATACTTGCCAATTTGAAATCCCCATTTATTATTTTAAATAAAAAGCAATGATTTGCCAATATATATCTTTCCTCCTCTTTCATCACGTCCCTCCCCCCCACCCCCCAAGCTGGATCGGTATACGCCTGGCATGCTTGGGCCAGGTTCAGCCAGCCCGCCCAGATGTGCCCAATATCACATCATGTGGGGAACAAGGGGCCACGGCAGCCTGCTTCTCTCCCTCTTGCCCTCTTGCTTCTCCCAAATCAGACGTGAATGGCATAGCACTAGCAGGAAAAAAATGAATCCGCATTTCCTACCGGCCCATCACCCCACCAAAGCCATAATCCGAGATGTGCTCCGTGGGGGACTGGAGGTCGTTTTTGGAGGAGGCCTTGTCATCCAGCAGTGGCCCACTGCTGGCCTCGCTATCCGCCTTTTGGCTCAGGCTGTCTGAGAAGGCATCATCCCTGGGGAAAAAGATAGGTGTGAATTGGGAGTGCTTTGCTCCAGAGGCCCCAGGACATGCAGGGCTCCTCGAGACCTGTCTGAGGGGCTGGGTCAACACACACCTCATGGTTCATTTACGCCAAAAGCTCAGAGAGAGCCACTTCCCACCATGCCCTTACTGCCACGCACATCCACAGCCACGCTTCTAAGTCAGTTTCGTCAGCAGGACTTCCTCCTCTGCCCCACCACCCCATGCCACCTTCACCTCTCCCCTCCTCTACACTCTCCTTCTTTCCTAGGCTGCTCCAGTGAGGACAAGCTAAATGCTAGAGGGTGTATTGGAGAAATAGGGGCAGGAGCCTGCAAGCTGGGCACTGAGTGCTGAGTCTTCATGTGGCTCCAGGGGAAGCAGTTTAGGGCTAAGCAAGTGAGGAAGAAGGTGCCGCCATCCCTCACCTCCTCACCCAGGGCTTGGGACAACTGTGAGGTGGCTCAAGCTTGTTGGGGTGCCCTGCCAACCTCCTTCCACTGCCCTCTCCCTTCCAGTGCCCTGTCCCTGCCCACAGAGGCCTAGGGACATCAGAGCACCAAGGGCCCTCCACTGTGGCATTCATCTTGGGGTTTGCCTCTTCCAGACGTTTCTCTGGCTTCAGCCCATCCCCTCTGCTATCAAACCTTATGCTTCTGGCCCCCTTCACTTGAGGTCTAGCTTGGTGGCTGCTTCCTCAATAAATCAGTTCCACCTGAGCCTGACAGGAGCTCAGAGGAAGTGTGTGTACAGGAACCTTCAATGGCTTTCAAGGAATGGAAGATATAGTCTTTCTGAGCTTTCTAGTAAGTAGGTCTAGTATTTGGGATCTAGGAATTTTTTTTTCTTTTCCTAGGAGCTTTTTTAATGCCTAAAATTGTTTAAAAGAAAATAGATACAGAGAATAGATTGGTGGTTGCCCAAAATAGGTGGGCGGTGGTGAGTAGGCAAAACAGGTAAAGGTAGTTGAAAGGTAGAAACTTCCAGTTATAAGATAAATAAACCACAGGGATATAATGCACAGCATGGTGACGACAGTTAACACTGTATTGCATATTTGAAAGTTGCTAAGAGAGTAGCTCTTAAAAGTTCTCACCATACAAAAAAAATTGTCACTATATGTCATGGTGGATGTTAACTAGACTTATTGTAGTGATCATTTGCAATACGTAAAAATATCAGATCATTATGTTGTATACCTGAAACTAATGTTATATGCCAGTTTTATCTCAATAAAAAAAAATCATCCTCTATTAACTCGAAATGAGGGGATGATTGTTTCTACCCCCCGAGTGAGCCACCTCGGGGGTGGAAGATGCTGAGCAGTGAAGGGGGTGGAGGACTGGCCACTGGCTGCAGGGAAGGCCAGGAAGGTGGAGGTATGTGGCAAGATCACTGGACACTGGGAACCATGGTGGGTGATGAATGCCCTGGAGGCTGTCAGGTGGGTCAGGATGGTGGGCCAAGGGCACCAAAGGCTGTCTCTGTGTACTCTGAAGCATGAGCAATTTGCTTATTTGTTCAAAGGATCACCATTAAGGGGAAGTTAGAAATAACCCATTCTTACAGAAGACAAAGCGTATTATATCAGGGGGAGCACATCCTTGGCATGCAACTCAGCATTCCCCTTCCTATGCCCATTCCAGACATCACTAATTCATTACGGCACTCTTCACCGCTCCCACTCACATGTCTTGTACGACTATGTACTGATGGGGGATGAGTCCATCCACGCCGTTGTGACGACCCTCCCACCAGTCCTCTGAGGCGCGGTGGTACAACAGCAGTGAGGCCCCCTTCTTGAAGGACAGCTCACGCGGAGACCGCCCCACATAGTCAAATTTGGCGATGGCCTCGATCTGTTCCACTTCTAGAAGGAAAGTAAGGAGAAAGAGCATCCATAAGATCAGCAGAAGGGCAGTCCAGGCGCCTTGCTCAGATGGCACTGGCTTCTATGGGGCAGCCAGAAAGCAAGCCTGGTGAAAAGAGCATGGACTGGGGTTCACAACACTGGGGTTCTAGGCTTAGATCTGTCCCCCATGCCTGTGACCTCAGGCAGGCCATCTAATTTCTCAAAATGGAAAGTGGGGGCTGATAGGCCATATCCTTATTGTCCACTGCCCCTCTTGTTCTCTACTTTTTAAATTTATTAAAACAATATGATAAGAATTTTTTTTTTCTTTTACCCCTTACTATGAGTTCTGTTTCCATTTTTCCACAAACCGTTTCCCTCTTTGTCCACGTAACAGCACTTTTAGTGGGTCTTACCTTTTGGGAAGTCAAATAGATGGTGTGTGTGGACTCCCATCTATGCAAAATGAGGTACACAATTTTTAAGGGTTCTCAGAATTCTTTAAGGTTTCCTGAGAGCTCAATGTTATGGACTGAACTGCGCCCCCCAAAATCCATATGTTGAGGCCATAACCCCCATGATGATACTTTTAGGAAGTAACTGGGGTTAAATGAAATTGAAAGGGTAGGGCCCTCAAAGGACTGGCGTCCCTCTAAGAAGAGGGAGAGGCACCAGAGATCTCTCCATCTCTCTCCACATGCGCACAGAGGAAAGGCCACATGAGGACACAGAGAAGGGAGCTGGCTACAAGCCAGGAGGAGAGCTTCCCCAGAAACCAACCCTGATGGCACCTTGATCTTGAACTTCCAAAGCCTCCAGAACTGTGAGGAAATAAATTTCTGTTGTTCAAGCCACCCAGTCTGTGGTAATCCGTTATGGCAGCTGGACCTGCTACACACTCATGCATGGACTTAATTTGGTGGGAGGGAGAATTGTTACTGGGGCTATAGCTCAAGCATATCTCTTTGCACACAGATATTTACCCATCAAACATTTACTGGTCTCTGGTCAGTGACAGGCCCTGACTGAGTTATGCAATGAGGATGTGGCTCTTGCCCTTGAGGTACTCCTGCTGCCCAGCTCTGCCACCTCCTGTCTGTGCAACCTCAGGCAGGTTACATAACATCTGTACAACTCAGCTGCCTTATCTGTAAGGGTCGTTAGGAGGGTTCAAAGATAATGCATGGAAGTGCACAGCATAGCACAGACATACATTAGGTATTCAGTTGATAGCGGCTCTCAGGATTATGATTATAATTACTAAGGGCTTCAGCCTATGGGGTAGGTCCAGACAAGAAATCTAAGCTGCAGAGAGCTTAAGCAGTTTCCCCAAGACCATACAGCTAAAGATGTTTAGAAAGGAGACTTTGGGGGGAGCAGGGTGTTATGCCTACAATTCATTTAACCTGCGTTATAGTTTATACCCTAAGAAGTGCCCACACTTGATAGAAAACTGATTGTGTATAGGTGTTAATGTGTTTCTATTTTAAAACAAACACAAAGATGTTTAACATTATAAAAATAATATGTATAGCTACATGAAATTCTAATAGAATAAAAGAGTAACAAAAGTGACCTCTGCTCTCTCTAGCCAGCAGATACCTTCCCTACGCTGAGCTTCCCAAGCCCTTCCATGGGACTCCCTGTCTGCTCCATTCCTGGTGGGTTATCATGTGTCTGTCCATCCAGCTATTCAGCTGTCCATCATGGACTTAAGTCCAGAACACCTGGATTTGCTGCTTTGTAGCTGTGACCTTAGACAACTTATTTCGCCTTTTTAAGCCTCAGTTTCCTCATCTGTAAAATGGGAATGAATAGTAATAGCACCTATGCCTTATAGGGTTGTTATGAGGATTAAATGAGTTACTATACACAAAGTGCTTGCAACAGTGCTGGGCACATAGTTAGCTCTATATGAGAGCTAGCTTCTACCAGAGCTGATAAACCTCTAAGGGCCACAAGCAGCATGGAAAATCAAAGAGTAGCGGGAGGAAACCCCTTTATTCACCTCCCCCAAGAATCCCCACCACATTCACGCACCAGGGCTCCCCGTGTAAGCAGCTGGCTCAGGACAACCATGCCGGTGCCCCTGTGAGAGGCAGTGGTCTTCGGATGTACCCAGTCCTCAGTGCCTGGGACAGCCTCCTCCTGGGCGCTGGCTCAGACAGTGAAGTCAGCTTTTTTCAGCTGGCTCCCTGACAAATGTCTTTAAATGCTATCCTAACACAGTTGATGCAAAATGACAGCACAGCTAAATGGGTCAAATTAACTCAGCTCTTGACTCAGAGTCACCTTCTCAGTAAAGCGGGGAGATCTCTGTTCTCTCTGCTGCATCTTGGACTCTGCCGCCCAGCCATGTGCTCGCACTGCCTGCTAACCTAGCCTCAGAGACAGAAAGGCCAGAGGGTTTGCAGACCAGGAGGGGAACCTGGCCACCTGCGTGCTTTTACCCCAGCGCTTCCTTTGAGCAGATTCAACTGATAAAGAAGCTGACCTGAGCAGAGGTTTTCTCATGCTAGGAGGAGCACAAAGAGGCGGGGCTTCTACTTCTTGCCTTTTCCATCTCCAGAGCCTCCAGCAATCACTAAAGTCATCCAGGGCTGGGGGTAAGGGCTGGTAGTGGGGAGATCAAGAAGGAGTTGAAAATGCAAGGGGAAGAAAAAATGGGAGGAACAGAGCTGAACCACAAACTGAGGGTGAACACGTGTGTTTGCAGATGCCATTATATAAGTGTGTGTGGTAGAAACGATGATAATAGCTACCATTTATTAAGAAATCTATTGTTTGGATATATCATACCTAAAATAGAATATGTGATTCTCCCCCTTACCACTCTCCCACACTCCCCTTCCCAAACTTACTAAGTGCCTCATCTTCCCCATTAGGAAACAGAACCACCTTGCTCTCTGGCTCAGGCCAAAGCCTTGCCAATGCTCTTGAGCATCTCACTCCTAATCCATCAGCAACCCCTTCGGACTGTCTCCTAAGTTTGACCAGTCTCACTGCCTCCACTGTCACCACTTTCCCTCCCCCTGGCCTCCTTGCTTTCATTCTTACTTGGGGAGCCATTTCTTCCCACAGCAGCCAGAAGGATCTTTTAAAATCATATATCAGATCATGAAAATCTCTTGTTCAAATCCCTCTGCAGGCTTCCCATTGTGCCTGAAAGAAAACCCAAATGTCTTCTCCTGGTTTCTGAGGCCCTCCATGCTCTGGACCCCGGGGGCCTCCGCAGCGTCATCTCTCCCTCACGCAGTCTGCTCCGGCCTCACTAGCCTTCTTGATGCTTCTGCTCCCACATCATATTATGACAGTTTTCAAATACTAAGTGAAGCTGAAAGAGTGTTACAGTGGACATGCACATACCCACCATATCAATTCTACTATTAACATTTTATTATACTAGCTTGATCACATATCTATCCATCCCTCTATCTATTCATCCATCCATCTATCCATCTTATTTTTAATGAATTTTAAAATATGGTGCCCCCTAATCACAATAGCATACACGTTCACAGAGCCTTCTTGATCCTTTTAAAACAGGCCATGCTTTTTCCTGTCCCAGGGCCTTTGCACTTGTTACCGCCTCTTCCTGGGATGTCCTGCATGCATTCACAGTCAACAAATACTTATTGACCATTGGGTGCCATTTCTTAATTTCATTCAAGTCTGTACTCAAAAGCCATTGCCTCAGCAAGGCCTTTCCTGACCACACATGACAACAAAAGCACCAACTATCAACTGGCTCTAATGCCTTCTCTTTCTTAATGCTTCAGAGCACTTATCACAACCTGAACTTACATGTGTGCTTGTGCGCCAAGTAGCTTTGAAACTTTTTACCGTCAATCTTTCCTACTAAAATGTAAGCTCCATTAGGACAGGGATTTTATATTTTATTTCCTGCTGTTTCCCCACTTCTAGAACAGTCCCTGGGATGAGTAGGCACTCAATGCATATTTGTTACATGTATGAACAAATTAAGCTTTTACTATGAGCTAATTATTCTTATATGATCACATTTAATCCTCACAATATCTGCAGTACCATTTTACAGATGAGGAAACTGAGGCTGGGTTGAAATGATGTGTCACACAAGGGGTGAGTCAAACAAGTAGGCAGTGATGAGCTGAGATCTAAGCCCAGGCCCCAGGTGTCATTATAGAGCCTTCCTGGTGTTTTTAAAACATGCTAAGTTGATTCCTGCCCAGGACCTTGATATCTACACAGTGTAAACATGAATACACATCTGTACCATGCTGTGTGTTTGATATTCAATTTAACTCCTGCTGAATGAGAGGGTAGTGTTGCCAAGTAGGTACCCTATGGGCTCCACAGTGAGTGAAGGGATGGAGAGGCCAGCCCTTGAACTGATGGAAAGGTTGAGGGCTGTCCACGAAGGGCCTGGCTGGAACCCCACTTTAGGGCAGTCCTCCAGGAGCACAGCAGTCACAGGGTTGGACAAGGACTGGAAGGGAAAGGCTGGAGGCGAAGGGAGTTCAGTGGCTGTTACAACAGTCTGGGCCTGACACGGAGATGAAAAGACATATTGGAGCTTTCCTTTAATTTCACAGTGTGATGGCTACACATTTTACAAGTCCCATACTGATGATCCTTCTCTACCTACCACCCGATAGGAAGCTCAGATGCTCCTCTCTAATGATGCCACACCGGAGGACACTTTTTTAGGTCAGGAACTCTGACTGTATGGGAGAACAGGTGGCTCCACTCCTCTCAATACCACTTCACTACCCCACCCCCCATCCCCCACACTGTCTCTGAAGAGAGAATACTGATCTCATTAGGCCAGTGTATTAAAGGCCATGGTCACCATGTTAAAGGTTGGGAACATGGATGTACCCTTTCTTCCCTCTCATCTTCTCTGCAACAAAAGTAATGACATCACCTAGGGCCTGTCCATAGGTTCCCTCTTTTCTCCTCTTCTCACTCATGACCTTGGGTTCTTTCATTGCCTTGGGCTGTAGCACCAGCTAGTATTAAGATTTAGATTTTGTTTT